TAAGGCTTGCTCTCTTCCTGTGGAATCATGAAGAGGATTATTTTAGTAAATCCCTGAACATTCTCTGATTGGAGAATGAGGATCAAACCAAGGTAAATGGCAGGATTGACACTCACACCAAGGGCTGGCTCATTAAGGGCTCGGGACCTGGTGATCGAGTTGCATTGCAGATCTTTGAAATTATGCAAGACCACGCCAGCCACCTTTCCAGGGAGAGACCATGCAAAGCAGGCAGGTGAGCCCAGGGCTGGGAGTGGAGAGGAGCGCTCCAGCCCCCGAGCAGCTGTCGTCCCAGCACAAAGTGTCAGAAGCGACCTCAAAGTGTGGTCTGCAGACCAGCAGCATCTGCGTCACCTGGGAGCTTGTTAGAAATGAAGAATCTTCTGAGAGAACCAGACCTGCTGCATCAAAATCTGCATTTTAACAAGATTGTATCTTAGATACACAGTAATGCTTAAAAAGCATGGGGCAGAGACGGTAATCCAGCAGCCTCTCATCACACTCCAATCTGATGCTGCTAGTGCTCCAAAAAGCTCTCACATTCTCGCTGACTAGCCGAGGGCTGTGTCTATCAATGCATTATACGACACAGATGAAGACTATTGTGTACCTTCCTCAACTTTTACCCCATTGTTTCAGCCTCATGTACATCTTTAATGCAAACATCAATGCGAGAATTCTTGTGACATTAATTTTCTGGAACAACCTGTTTTGCCGAGCGAATTTCATTAAGCCATTTTAATCCGGAGTTTAATTTTTTATACAGCTCGACTAAATCATTTCCATTTTTTTCCATTAGACTGTCTATTTGTAGTAACATTATTTTCATGGGATCAATTATTTTCTGTTTAAATCTACAACAGGCATTTGACTCATCAGTCTCTTTTTATAGAACAACTTTTTGCTGATTCTAACTTCTGCTATTGGGAGAGGTTTTCTTGTTCGTGTGTTTGATCCTTTTGTGGCCATTCTTTCCAGTAAGTGAAAATCATCTGAATCAAATTTTGTAGATTTAAATTTTGTTATTAGCAATACCTGTTTTTTTTTTTCTGTCAATTTCAGCTCATTACACATTCTAGTCATTTTAACCCTGCTAGTTTTGTTAGTTGCTAATTGCTTTTACCATACCAGTAATACGTGGTAGAAATAATCATCAGAATGAAAACTCTGCAAAGGCAGGATTTCTGTCCTTTTTTTTGTTGTTGTTGCCTTATACTTGAGACTTAGTGCATGGCACATAGAAAGTGCTCCATATGGCCAGGCGCGGTGGCTCACGCCTGTAATCCTTGCACTTTGGGAGGTTGAGGCAGGTGGATCACTTGAGGTCAGGAGTTTGAGACCAGCCTGGCCAACATGGTGAAATCCCGTCTCTACTAAAAATACAAAAAATTAGCTGGGCATGGTGGTGGGCACCTGTAGTCCCAGCTCCTCAAGAGGCTGAGGCAGGAGAATCACTTGAACCCAGGAGGCGGAGGTTGCGGTGAGGTGAAGTCACACCACTGCACTCCAGCCTGGGTGACAGAGTGAAACTCCGTTAAAAAAAGAGAGAAAGAAAGTACTCCACAAATATTTGTAGGTGGAAAGAATGATATTCACTTATGATTTAATCAAAGACTGATGGTTTATCTATTTGAAAAGAAGACTGTGAGAAACAGATTGATGGAGACAGGACAGAAAGTGGAGGAGAAGAGAGAAGATGGAGACAGCACATACACATGCACATAGACTTGCACATGGAGACACACATTGCACATGTGTGCACACAGCCACACACATATACACAAACACACATGCAGGCACACAGCCACACACACATACATAAACAAACATGCATGCAGTCACACACATCTACACAAACACAAGTGCATGCACACAGCCACACACATATACACACACATGCATGCACACAGTCACACACATATACACACACATGCATGCACACAGCCACACACACACAGACACACATGCATGCACACAACCACACACTTATACACAAACACACATGCATGCACACAGCCACACAGATATACACAAACACACATGCATGCACACAGGCACACACGTATACACAAACACACGCATGCACGCAGCCACACACATATACACACAAGCATGCACATACACAGAGGCATATATGCACATGCACTAACATACGCATAGTCACAGATACACCTGCAGGTGCAAACCCCTATATATGGGGTCACATTCATACGCAGGAGTTAATGTATTTGTGCTCACCAAATAGAGAGTAGAATTGTAGTTGTTAGAGGCTGGGAAGAGCAGAGGAAGAGAAGATATAGGGAGAGGCTGGTTGGTGGATACAAAGTTACAGCTGAATGAGAGGAATAATTTCTACTGTTCTGTATTACTGTAGGATGAATATGGTTAACAATAACTTAGTGTATATTTTCAAAAAGCCAGAAGAGAGGATCTTGAATGTTCACAACACAAAGAAATGATAACTGTTTGAGGTGATAGATATGCTACTCTGATTTGATCATTACCCATTGTATAAATGTATTGAAATATCACTCTGTATCCCATAAATATGTATAATTATTATGTGTCAACTAAAAATAAAAGAAAAAACCACACATATATGCACACATAGACGTGCACATGAACACACAGACATAAGCATGGATATACGTATACATGCAGAGTTGCACATATACACACACATATATGCACACACAGACATGCACACGAACACACAGACATACCCATGCATATGCATATACACGTGGAGTTACACATATACACCCATATACGCACACATAGACATGCACATGACGACACTTATGCACATGTACACACATGCACACAGCCACACACATACACATATACACAAACACCCATAAATATGCATACATAGACAGCATGCACACAGAGATACATATGCACCCACACAGCCATATATATATACACACATATGCAAATGTATGCACACATATGCCCATACATCGGCATATATTCGTACAGATTCAGATATAAACACATACAAACACTCATGTACATATGCACACACACGTACATACACAGTCTGCTGGCATATTGATGGCTAAACCAAGGCAGGGTAGCGTGAAATGTCTTCTGGTGCAAAGTCAGTAGGATAAAAACTGCAGGATCAAATGGCGTGCTTACCAACACTCCTCTTTGGAGTATCAGTGTCTCCATTTTACAACCAGTGCTTGATCAAATGCACATTGAGTTGAACTGAATATTGGAAAACGAATTGCTACCTTTAAATGAATCTGCTGAAAAATCATAGTTGTCCTGGGCCAGACCGTGCGCAAAGCACTGGGTACTGGAGAGGAAAAGCGGTTGGCCCTTTTTCTTTGAAAGCTTAGTCCAGTGGGGAAGATGGATGTGGAAGCTCAGCAATCAAACTGCAGCTTGATAATAGCTGTGCTGAAAAACCCTTGTGGAGCGGTGGGGGCTGGGAGGGAACGGTTCTTACACTGAATGTTCAAGCTTAGTGGGAGCTATTTAAATTCTGAGCCATCAGATATTTCTGCTGGATTCCTTTCGGTGCATTTGTTAATCAATTATAAAATACTAATAATGAACACTTCCGGAGAGAGGATGGAGGCTGAAAGATAGTAGAGGGCTGGACTTGAGGTTGAAAGATTTGCAGAGACCTGGATTGTGCATTCGACCTTTACAAATTGAAGCGAGAGGCTTTGCATCTCTGAACCTCAGGATTCCACTCTATAAAAAGGAAAATGAAACCATTCAGTTTATAGGTTTGCTGTGAGGGCTCAACGAGAACGTGGATCCAAAACAGCTTTGGAAACCAAAATACCACTAGTTAGCTTCCTGTTTTATTATCCAAAAGAGGCTGCAAAGATTTGAGGTTTGTTTGTAGTTTGTTTGTCGATTAGTCAGTGTCTACTAAAATAACAATGTGTAACAACCACGCCCAAATCTTGGTGGCTTAATACCTTAAACGTTATTTTTCTCATTCATGAGTCTGTAGGTGGGTTGGAGTTTGGCGGATGTAGGCTGGAATTAGCTGGACCTGCTTCCCGGACCAGGGTTGGATCCAAGTCTTCCGTACATGTCACCTTCTTCTTTTGGGGCCAGTGCTACCTGGGATTTGAATTTCATGGTGCTAGCAGAAGCGTAAGAGGGCATGCTAACCATGTGAACACTGTTAAAGCCTAACATCCTATAGGCCAAAGCCAGCCACAGGTCCAAACTCACTTCAATAGGCAGAGAAAGTCCTCCGCCTGCTTTACCAGGGAGTACTGCAGAGCAATGACTGAGGAGGGAAATGTATAATCCTATTAGGGAGAGGGAGGGGAGCCAGGAACACAAATCCCTCAAGGCAGGATGAGTAATGGTTTTCTGCCCAAGGTTGACAGACTGGGTCTCAATTCCTGGCACTGCTCCTCTCTAGCCATGAGACTTTAGGCAAGTCAACATTTCAGAGCCTCAGTTTCCTCATCTGTAAAGTGGGCATAATAATAGAATTCTCATAAAATTTCACTGAGGATTGCCTGATTCATGACAACAGCCTTGTAAGTGGTCGCCTTGTTTTACCTCACGCTTTCTGTAATCTCTTCTGTATGCATCATCCTTTAAATACAAAAGTCAACTAGAAAGACAGAAAACAGATTAGTGGTGGCCAGAGGTGGTGGAAGGAGAGAGGGGGAGAAATGAGAAGTGCCAGGGGGCATGAGGTTTCCTTTTGGGGCGATGAAAACGTTCTAAAATTAATGTGGTTACGGTTGCACAACTGAAAATATACAATCCCTCTGCCTGGAACCTTTTCCCCAAGGTATCTGCCCCCACCATAGATCTTCACTTGCGTATGTATAATAAGGCTTTTCTGGACCACCCTATTTAATTACCCACTCCTTGCTGTCCATGCCTCTCTCTTGATATATTTTCTCTGAGTGTTTGTAGCAACCTGACATATTTTACATGCTTATACTCTATGTACTTTATATTAAAGCACAGTTATGTAATTTATTTCTCTGCTCCCTTCACCTCTTTCCTCCCTCCCTGAAATATACCAGTAGAATGTAATCTTCAAGCAGGCAAGGATATTTACCTGCTGGCTTTGCTGCTGTATCCCCTAGACAGTGCCTGGCACACGGTAAGCCTTTTAAAAATATTTGTTGAATGCATGAGATAAACCATATAATGCTTAGTAGGTGCTCAGGGCTGAGAATCATAATTGATGTTAGCCTTTATTATCTTTATTTACTTCAAATAAGCTACTTAATTGCGAAATTTTCAGTCTGGAGGGATTCTGAGTTTGAGTCCAGTGTCTTCCCTGGGAGTGCTTGCTTGCACACGTGTGTGGGATAGACTCCCGCTGTGTCTGTGGACTCAGCGTCTCAGCTCCAGGCTTTTTGCTGCCAGGCATAGCGAGCCGTGACATTTATAAATCTCTGGGCTCTTAATCCCCTGCTGATCCTCGGAGAGGAGTAGACATTTGTTGCTAAACACATTGCCCCACTTTGAACAAAGAAACGAAGAGATACCCAAGCGTCAATATAACAGCTGCCTGCGATGGCTGTGACGTCGCTTCCCTCCTAAAGAGGAGGGTACTGGGACTCACTCCTGTGCACTGACCTGCCCCACTCACCTGGCTGGTGAGGGGTGCAGTTACTACCTTCAGAACACATATCACTGGGTCCTTGCGCTGCATTCTTCTGTCTCTGAGCAGATCTGTTTGTTTAAAGGTTTATTCCTCACATTCAGCTCAAGCCTGTAAATCCTTCCTATAAATTCTGCCTGCTCCTTGATACCAATCTGTTCTCCTCCAAGTAAATCTTTTAAAGACAATACTCCAGCAGCACCGGGAGAGCAATTCCTGCAAAATCATGCCCGGAAGCCCCCTGTTAGCATGCAAATATGCCCCTTTGCAGCATGTTCTGATTGTAATTCATGATGCACAGTGCAGAGAATTAAGCCGGGTCCCTTCCTTATCAGTCACCATTTAATGGAGACTGAATGGTTGTGGACGCTTTTGTTAGGGTCATCAAGAAGATTTGCGATGCTCGGCTTGGTAAGGAGGAACTTGTGTGCTCAGTGCTAAGACAAACCTAGCACTATATAGGCTCCCAGAAGCCCATGGCAGTTACAGGAGCCATGGACAACAAACACGTAGACACTCAATGGTGGGCTCGGGAACCCGTGTTGGCAAACTCACCATTGATGGAAAGACCTGGAGGGCAGTATCTTTGGTCATGACATGAAACAGCCTAGCAAGCTGCAAAGGCCAGATTGAAGAGAGCTGTTGAGAATTTATTTGCTTGCTACAGGCTGGCTTTTTATTTTATTTGTTTATTTATAATTTTTTTAGCAAACCATCTGAAATGGGATGAGAGAGCCACATTTGGGCATACCACTTATTGGACCAGCAGTTCTACAGAGGCGAGGGTCCATTCTTTGGTTTGTAGAAGCCTCTCTGTCAGCAGTTCTCAGTAGGAAAGGACTTTATTTCTCTTCAGTTCAGCAACATTTACTAAGTGCTGGCAATGGGCTAAGGGGACAGAGAGGAAGAAGGAGATTCTTGCCCTCCAGAAATTTACAGCCCAACATAATGTAAACACTTTTCTATACCACACTTGCAAATAGTAATTGTGTGGAAATTCAGACGGCGGATTTACATGTGATCAGACTGTGCGTGTGTGTGCATATGTGCGTGTGTGCACGCGTGTAGGTCACTGCCTGAAGAACGACAAATATGCTAAGATTTTAGTTACTCCTTGCTTTTTTTGTCCCCCCCTCATTTTTTTAACCTTTACTGAAGTATCATTCACATACCACAGACTGCACCCATTTCAAGTGTAGAACTCAGTGATAATTAATATATTTACAGAGTTGTGCAACCATAACTGCAATCTTATTTCAAGTAATTTCTACCTCCCCAGAAAGAAGCCTCGTGCCCATTTGAAGTCACTCTCCTTCCTAACCCCAGCCTGAGGCAACTACTAATCTATTTTCTGTCTCCATGGATTTTCCTTTTCTGCACATTTTATGTAATGAAATCATGCCATATGTGGGTTTTTGTGCCTGGTTTCTTTCACTTAGCATAATGTTTTTTGCAGTTTATCCATTAGACACACTCGGAAGCAGTATTTCCAGCACCAGTCTATGGTCTCATTTTGTCCTCTTCCTTTTACAATTGAAGGCGCAATTAACTGGCCTAAATTCAATGAACTTAAAGGTGGGCCATTTGTGGCGTGCTTACTCAATTCAATCTCGGCTGAGATTTGATCCCTTATTATTACATTAGTGCTTTTTCCTTTTCTGTTTTCAGTTACCTTTTATAAAATAGTATAAGAGTGGAAGATAATCAAATAGCTAAATAAATCTTATCAACAGAGATAGTGAAGGTGCTGGAGCTTCCTCACTGAGCAAACTGAGCTACCGTAAAATGGTAACTCGTGAAAAAATTAAAGTTGAGCATATGCATTGGATTTAGGGGCATCAACGCGCAATGTATGAAAATGCAGCTTGTTCAAAACTTGAAGGTGTGAATGTCAGAGACTCCCTGTGAATCTCGTCATCATTGTCATCATTCTCATAACAATAATAGCAACTCCCTTTTTCTGAGTGCATGGTATGAGCTATTCAGTTCCCACGCATTTCCTCATTGAATCCTCACAACCATTGGAGGAATATATATTTTTTAATTATTATTTCCATTTTACAGACGGAGACAATGAGTTCCAGTAAGTTTAAAGACACATGCCTAAGACTGAGAACTCAAAATATCTGAGACAGATCTCAGTCAATTTAGAAACGTTTATTTTGCCAAGGTTAAGGACGTGGCCGGGACACAGCCCAGGGAGGCCCTGATGACATGTGCCCCAGGTGGTCAGGGCACAGCTTGGTTTTATACATTTTAGGGACACATGAGATATGAATCCATATGTGTAAGATGTACATTGGTTCAGTCCAAGGTGAAACAACTCCAGGTGGGGAGGGGGCTTCCAGGTCACGGATAGACAAGAGACAAAAGGTTGCATTCTTCTGAGTCCTTGATCAGCTGTCCACTGAATACAGTGTTCATTCCTGGGCATAGGCCTAACTAACTTTGGGAAGGAATTCAGTTCATGGCTTGACTCTGAATCAAAATTGATAATAACCCTTTCCCCAAAAGACCCTCTTCTTGCCCAGGGACCAGTCTGCCTTTGCAGGACTAACAAATTAGCTACAAGATTAGAAATTACAGTTTAGGGGTCATGCAGCCTCTGGCTCCAAGAGTCTGAACCTCCTCAAATTACTCCTGGGGATAACATCACTATTGCAAAACCTGAGATCAGTGCTTGAGATATTTTGCAGACGCTGCACTCCATGGATCAGCTGACACCATGCAGACCACTAATCTGCCTCAACCAGTTCTGCCGTCTCACCCAGGAACAGCAAGAAAACCTCACTTCAACCCCCTATGACTCCATCTCCAACCTGACCAATCAGCACTCCTCACTTCCCAAGCCCATACCCGCCAAATTATCTTTAAAAACTCTGATCCCCGAATGCTTGGGGAGACTGATTTGAGTAATGATAATTAAACTCCAGTCTCCCGCACAGCTGGTTCTGTGTGAATTACTCTTTCTCTATTGCAATTCCCCTGTCTTGGTAAATGGGCTCTGTCTAGGCAGTGTGCAAAGTGAATCCGTTGGGCAGTTATAAAAGGAGCCTGGGAGATGGGTTGAGCAGGGGGTAGAGAAAGTAATGACTGTGATCAGACCCCGCTGAGAGATTTGCCATTGTCAATAAGGTAAGAGGGAGACACTGAGGAATTTTAAGTGCAGACGTGATGTGAACAGATTTGAGTTTTACAAAGATGAATTCCTAGGGGGAATAATGGTGCCTTGGATCAAAGTTCTCAATTCCAAGTAGCAAGTTAGGGTCTCAGAAAAGATACAAAACTTCGGACCAAGCTCTCCTCTCCTCTTCTCAGCAGGAACCAAACTTGCCAAGGAGACCTTCAGGTTTCTAGAGTCCGAGGCTGATGAAGAAAGAAGGTTGGGGCAGATTTTGACCGGGGTCTGAGCTTTGCCTAATCACACTGACCGACTGAGCAGCCACTGCTGATGAATTTTTATTTCCTTAACTGGCAAAGCCTTCTTGGCACCAAAAAAGTGTTCATGGTTTTTCTTAAAAAAGCATTTAGTGCCTCTGAGTTGAGAAGGCTGGTTTACTGAGATGTGGCATCTCTTATAAAAGTTAAGGGGCGTTTTTCAGTCACTTTATAGTTTGTTTTATTGATGGAGAAAGGGAAAGGGATAAAATATTATTGTCTTCTAAAATCTCTGTCCTTTGGCAGCAAGGATGAGAAGGTGTATGTCCTGGTAAATTTGGGTTACAAAATAACCCCTTCCCTTAGTGCTCTGCTGACTGAGTTACCACAGTGCTTCCCATACACCATTGCCTCAGGCAAGCTGCTTAATTTTTCTGGGCCTCAGTTGCTTAGTCTGTAAAATGGGAATATGAACACCAATACCACCGACCTCTTAGAAGTATTATGAGGATTAGGTATCTAGTATTTGTAAAGCATTTAAAACCAAACAGTATCTGGAACATACTAAGCTGAGAAGTGTTTGTTCAATAAAAGTAAATAGATTTTGAACCACAGCTGGGTCAAGTTGTGGCATGTGAATTACACACCTAGCTGAGTGAGCTTGGACCAACTGCTCATTCTCCCTGAGTCTCAGCTTCACCACCTGTGAAATAAGGGAGGCTGGACTGGGTGATCTCCAGGCCTCCTTCTGATCTCTCAGCACATTATCTCTCATCGTCTGGTGAGAGAGAGAAGGTTTGTCTGTATGCTGTGGAAACAGGGATGAAACCAAGACACAGAGAGGTCACACAGTTTGCCAGAAGCCTGAGATTAAAGCCAGCCCCACACAAACAATTTTCAGCTTTTTCTGTCCACAAGAAACATCTGAGAAGCTTCAGAAACCCTGACGACCGTGCCTTGCCTCAGAACACCTGGCACAGCATCCCTGCCTGTGGGGCATGGCCCTGGTCCTTGCAAAAGTCTTCCCAGATGATGCTAATAGCTGCCAGGGTGGCACATTATTGGCCTCGATTAAAATTCAGGTCTAGCCAAGCTTGTTATCTTTCAGTTGTAGA